CGGAAAAAGAAGAAAAAGAAAAAAGAGTTATGTCATATAATCCCTTTAGCCAGTTTAGGCCTGCTGCACATGGTTGGTTGGGCTTAAGGCAATGAATCAGCAGATCTTCACTGCCATCTGTTCTGTTGCAACGGTCAATGTGCAGTGCTTGAATGAGTCGATAATCACTTGCTTGTGATTGAATACAACCAAAACTATACAACCTTTGTTGCTCAGCATTCTGCCATAAAACAGGGGGTAGGGGGGTCTCTTTTTAAATTTTGGCCAATAGGATGGGCACTTATGTGAAGGGGTGCTTATTTGAGGGAAGGCACTAATATTCAAGCATTTACGGTGTAAGCTCCAGTGGCCAGTGTGGACGAATTCTTTATTGTTGCCTGCTGTAAGAGCAGACTTTTTTCTTAGAATTTGAAACTTTTTCTCATTTCAGTTTTGTGTGATGTATAAATCCAGGAACAACAGTAGCATCCAGCGAGATGACACAATTGCTAAACTTGCTGCCATGGTAATGAATGCTGGAAAGGGACACACTGTAAACCTGAATAAGCCTGACTTGGCTATTTGTGTTGAGATCATTAAGGTAAAAGACAATCTCTGACCTTGTTATGGGTAATTAGAGTCGAACCTCCAATTTACCAGCCACCTGTTGAGTGGCCACTTGTTAATCAGCCATTGATTTTATCAAAATCACCAAATTGTTATCAGTAATAAAAATACTTTAAATAGTGGGTCATTATAACCTCTCTGTATCGGTTGATGCCACAATAATGGTATCACACAAATGCAGAATAATTAGTAGACAAGTTGCAGTCTGACATCCTTTTTATAGAACAGGTTATCGTAGCAACAATACTATCTGTCAAAAAACACCCATAAATTTTTAGCTTTAAGTGCTTATAGCTAAAAAACGAGCTTGATGACCCACATTTTGTATTATCAAATTGTGATAAGCATGATGAGATGATTCTGTGAAGAGGGTTCAGGCAAAAGGTGAAGTCTGAATACGAGCAAAGTGGCCCATCATGATGGAGCTTATCACAGTTTCTGTAGCGTGAAGCAGCCAGGAGTATTTCCACTCCCCCTGGATGGGGTGGCAGTCCATTGCAGGATAATACCCCCAGCGTTAAGGTCACCGGTACCCATATATACACCTGGGTGGAGAGAGGCACTGCAAGAGTAAGCCCAAGTCAAGAACACAACACAATGTCCCCATCCAGGTTTTGAATCCGGACTGCTCGATCTGAACACAAGCACACTAACCATGAGGCCACCACGCTTCCCATGGAGAGGGTTCAGAGCCATCTTAAATTTTCTAAAACTTGATATTTCTCCCTCGCTTTCCATTTAAAGTAGAATATCATAAATTATTGTATNGAACACAAGCACACTAACCATGAGGCCGCCACGCTTCCCATGGAGAGGGTTCAGAGCCATCTTAAATTTCCTAAAACTTGATATTTCTCCCTCGCTTTCCATTAAAAGTAGAATATCGTAAATTATTGTATTTTATTATTGGCCCTTTTAGAATGTCTGCTGCTTGAGTGTGGTTAAAGATTTGTTCAAGCTGAGAAAATACAACATTCATGAAGTGAACAAGCAAATCATCCAATCTCAGTCCAATCTCAACAGTGCAGAGCAAGAGGATGAAAAGGCCAATGACCCAAGTGTTGAAAAAACAAATGACAATAGTCAAGACATACCTGAAACAGATGTAAGTCATACTGGTGATAAAAGGGTTAACGATACAGTTGTTGAAGATAAAGTTATTCACGACACAGTTGTTCAAGATACAGTCACAGCAAATCCAAATATCATAATAAAGGAAAACCAAGGGTAATCTTTCAAGGAGATTATAAAATGAGACCACCAGAGTGTTGTTGATTCATTCATTAAGGAGGTAAGGAATGACTTCAGTATGGAAAAAAAACTACGGTGACATGAATGAGAATGTTAACTGTGATATCTACATCAACTGTAATTACCACTGACAGTGATGTTTGTTGTAGCATGATTGAGCACAGTGGTAAAGGTGTTCATACCTATTTGCACAAATTTACTATTGACCTCCAATAATGAACTTCCAAGACCTCAAAAATATGACATCAGCTTTTGCACTGTAGCTTACAAAAAACTTATTATAAAAATACCACAGCTTGGGTTTTCAAGTTGGACCTGACCTCTGCTTGGCAGTCACCCTTAATTTTACTCAGTCTATAATAAATTATTACAGCAGCTAAATTAGACTCCATTCAATACATTACATAAACTTGCATTAAATGATACAGGAAATGCTTGTCTTATCTCAGGCATACCATACCTACTTAGGTACCTGTATCTCTCCATGCTCCATGCCATAAGGCACATAAGGCTTTGACATTCCCCTTACATCCACATTGATTTGCCGTTAGAGCTCTGACAGTTGTCCATGACTGCCACCCAGCTGTGCACCTTTCTTCCTCAACCATTCTCCTCTAGTCTCCATGACGGGACTGGACCTCCTAAACACCAGGCAGGTGCTCTGTCCACAGAGCTACAGATAGACTCATGGTGAGCAATGCCTGTTATTGGGTTCATATTGACATGTATGGGTTTTACATACTGCTACAATCAGCATTGTTGAGAGCATATTGAATGGTGAATAAAGGTGGTAAATTTCGAGTTCAGGTAGTAGTGAAATGAGAAAGATGCAACGTTTGTCATGTCTCGAGCATGTTATATCGAGTCCCTGAAAGGATTCAAACCCGTTACCTCCCAAACACTAGGCAAATACATGTACTCTATCCACTGATGTATCGATAGGTCTGAAACTCATGAAGTCGACTTGTGGCAAGTCTAGATAGAGAACGGACTATGTTGTTACTGGAACCGCAAATCAACAAATGTAATCAAACTCAACTGACGAAACATAGATGTTTCCCCACTTAACATCCCAGGGTGATTCAAAGTCATGTTTGTGAAGAGAATAAATAATAAATATTTTCCATGTTACACAACAAAAGCAGTTATTAACAAGTCTCCCATCCCAACAAAACGGGCAACATTTGTGTTGATTTACATGGTCCAGATTCATAAGCTATTGAGAAACCAAACTGTCTCATATGCACAAGTCTGTCCACAGACGTTTATTTTTTTTGCTATGAGTTATTTTTCTTCAAGCATGCAAGCAATGCGAGCATGTTTAGGAGCCCCAACCCCTCCACCCCCTGCATTTTGGCTCGTCCATATCCCATGCATGGGGTTAATATTTTGCTAAGCTCGTGATCTCAGTGAACTCAAGACAAAATTGAAGATCTATGGACAGACTGTGTTTGCACGTGCTTTGCGATGATGTCATTTGTTTTCACTCCTGCTGCAGGGAGGCCAATTTGGAGTCCAAA